ATGGTGAGTGGGTGTTGGTGGTGCTTTCTGGTAAGGTCTCGTCGGGGAAGAAGGATGTTATACCGTCTTGCGAAGCTCACCACCGATGATGAATAGCATTAACTGGTCTCAAAATCCCCAAACAATTTCCAGTAACTATTCCAGCACACTTGAGCATGTCTTAAAGGCTTTTCAACAGTCATTTTCCCCAATAATGTAAATAAGAGAGCTTATACACAGCAGCTCATATGCAAGTGTATCTAGAGATGAATAAACCATCTTCCTCTATTATAAGCAAATACTCATTCTTAGGCAAAAACCTTTTAATTTGAATTAGCATGCCCTTTTTTATATAGTTATTTGTCTAAACTATGCAAGACTTGAACAACGCTAAGACTTGACTCGAGTCAGAATACCCCAATTTTCATAATTAGAACTCACGCTTTTATGTAATCTTATGTAGTGTACCTAAAATGATCTGAACCATGAAGGCAAATACATTAATGTCCTCCGTATGAAGAAACATGTATGGCCATTTTCACTACAAAGCAATACAACAGTACAAGCCATAACAAATCAACTTGTGCATAGCCAGCTATGAAATCATCCATATAGACTTGTGAACTTCACTAAGAGATGCTTCCAAATAAGCACAATACTTACCAGTCTCTCCAACTTTCATGTTCCTAATGGAAACTATGAGATTTAACTTTAAATCCAGTAAGAGATGTGTAAAATATACAAAGAGCCATGTAGACTAGAAATTACCAAAACTAACTAAATGTGCCACAATAATTAAATGTAAGGTTAGCGGTTTCCCAAGTGATAGGCTGATGCTGCGAAATAGATGTTAACCAACCTGCAAATAATATGATGTTAAAAGACTGTAAATTGAGAAAGCAGTTCATCAAATGGACACAACACAAACGAAACCAATGAAACAAAAACTCAGATTCATGTATTCTTCCAATTGGTTAACAGGAGAAGGCACCTGTCATTTCCTTTTCATTACGTCTTTCATAACTCCCACTCTCTCGGTCTATAAACATAATGCCAATTTTATCCAATATATTATGTCAGTGTCACAAGGCATTACAAAAAAGAAGAAGCAAAAAATGAAAATGCAAAGATTTGAAACTAGAACATTCAAGCAAGGGGAGAGAGTCATATTATAAAAGACAGAGTTGAAAAGGGGTAACTTTGGTTGTAAAGCAATAAAAAAGTCATGAAAAAATGCACTGGGCTAAAAAGAACCAATGTTTTGCAAAGGCAAACAACTTTTCTAGTATTGGGATTTAATTTTAAGTTACTTCGAACGATTACATGAACAAGAAATTTCCAGTAGAAATAGAATCAACAGAAACTATTGTTACTAAAACTACACAACCTGAAACATTTGCAGAATTTCAACAAAATATTATATATACCTTATCCAGCAAAGGATTGAAACTAGAAATTTCTTTTATACGTTTCCATCATATTGTCCCAAAGAGTGATTATTTTAGGTATCTAGGAACATGGTTAAGAAGGAAA